CTGCAAGCAGAGGCACAGTTTTTAAGAAGCAGCCTCCTGATTCGTACTGGTAGCATGCATGGTTCTGGCTCTTACAGGAGGTCCTTCTACAGAGCCATTAGGGTTTGTGATCAGAGTGCTACAAGTTGCTTAATGGCAAAATAGACCCACTATGTCCCTGAAGCTGGGGTAGTGAGCATGGATCTCAGAGGCCATGTATATACCTCCACCATGTTGGACAGTGTGGAACCAAAAGGCAAACCAACCTTAGACCTAGCTATTCCACTTAGAATTCTGAGAAGCACTCCTGGTCAGAAAGGGATTACAGCATGTAAAGATGAAATTGTGTATATTATAGTGTTTTCTTTGAATTTTTTTGACTGCTGACAGACATTTAATTCTGGGGGCTACTAAGCTAAACCAGAATAAAGGTATCTTGACTTCAAAATTGAAGTCTAAAGATAACGTTACTTTAGAAAAGAGGTTCTGCTTTTGTTTCCACAGAGGGTGGCAACCTATGGATTCTTTCCAGGCTAATGTGGTTTAATGGAACAAGACCCCTAAAAAGGTCGCCATGAACCGTAAAAATACTTCACCCAACAAACAGTAGGAGGCAGTTTGGAGAAAATTATGCCCAAGTTCCCAATATGATTGTTTATAAATCTTTTTTTTTCATTTAAATAGGGATACAATATAGAAATAAATACTTTGCTTTGGCATGGATCTTGGGTTTATTGATACAAATTTAAGATCAATTTTGTTAGATGTATATTTCTACTCTTATTTAAAGTATTATGTTTATGCAGCTCATTTAAAAATGTAATATATAGTTAAGAAATACAGATTAATAGATAGTCATCTGTAATAATCAATCTCTTAATTATGTTAGTTAGGTTTTCTAAATATACAGAGATGTATTTCAGTTAAATAATCTTTAACACTTCAAAGACCTATAGGATATGGCATTTAAAATGCCTATTCAATATTATTAAAGTATGCAGGCTACACTGTCACATCTAGGCCAAAGATGGATGCTTGTTTTAAACAGTATATTGCTAAGACAAAAAAAGCAGGAATTCTTTTTGCACAATTTCTAAGAAATGTATTTTTTTTCTTATCTGTGCAAGCCAGAAAGGAGGGATGATCTAGATTCTATCTCATACTTGTAGAGGAGAATCTGTCCCCTGTCCCTCCCCACTGTGAAGAAGCAGCAGTTGCAATAATGACCATCTTATAGGCAGGTGGGGGCTGCAACTGAAGGCAGTGAGAAAGTCTCAGCAGATAGGGCTTTCCTTTAAGGAAGGTAATATCAAAGAAGGGGGCTGGAGAGATGGCTCAGTAGTTAAGAGCACTGCCTGCTCTTCCAAAGGTTATGGATTCAATTCCCAACAACCGCATGGTAACTCACAAAGAGATCTGGTGCCCTCTTGAGGAAGGGACCTGGCCAACTGTCTTCATCAACTCAGACCATAAAACCCAATATGGACAAGTTCAACAGAGCCACCATATATGGGCTGTCCATGCATGCTTCAGCATTGCCAGGGCATAAATTTCATTTCGTTTTTAATATCAAAACAGGCCTGACTAGATTTGCATGAATATTAGTGATGATCTTGCTTTCAAAAGTCAATTTAGTAAAATTTCTGCACCACAGTCTCTTTCCTGATGCTTCACTCCCTATGGTTTCTGTTCCCAGTGATCAGTTTGTGGTCTGAAAACAAATTTTACCAGTAAAATTCAAAAGCTATAAATGTCACAAATTTCCAAAGAGAATGATGAGCTCTTTCCTTTCCCCTGATCCATTTTCCAGATGTAAACAAACTCCCCTTGTGTACAGAGTATCTACTCAACATGGATTGCCAGTCTGTAATTACTTTGTAGCTGTCTCTGTTAAAAGATCGATTGTCTCATTATCATAGTTCAAGTAACATGGGTTCAAGTGGCTCTTATTTTCCTCAGTAATTGTCCTAATATAAAAGCAGTGATGTGATTACAATCTTCTTTGAGCTTAAACAGCAGAAGTACAATAGAGGTCAGACTCACCTATTTTATTCGTCTGTTGTTCTATGGATGTAATTGTTCTGTTTTCCTATTCTAAATCTATTTTCCCAACCTATAAATTAAATCCCATCACAGATAATATATATAACAAAAACATAGTGTTTACAGGACTTGGAACCATCTGCAGCCTTAGTCAATCACTACTGAAGGTAACACAACTGTATTTGTATAGTAAATCATTCAGAGTGAAGAAGAACTTCACAGAGAAGGTAGATATTGAACACGAGCAGCCTAGATGGACACGGACTAATAAGTAAGATTGTTGAGCAAGAGCTGGATTTTCAGCTGCTTGTGTTTACACTTCTAGAAGGCAAGCTGCCCTTTAACAGTTCCAAGTCATTGCACATCCCTTTGGAATTCCATCCCACCCCTTTCAGACGATGACTGGGGACACAGGGGACTTCCTTCTTCTCTCAAGGTAGCACACACACTTTGTGGAAAGAAAGGAACCATGAGGTAAGAATAGTTTGTTGTTTTTTCTTTACCCATTATCCTCAATTCAATCATTCACTGTGATGCCCATGCTCTGAAATTATTCTGAAAAATGCAGGTGTTTGGATATGCAAATTAGAAAACTGTCAAAATTAATTTACTGTTTTTCCAGTAGATGTATGACTTAACTTGGTAGTCTAACGCCATAGAGGAGAGTTTAAATTCCAGCTCAGCCACGTATCAAAAGTGTGATGTGACTTGGTTGTCAACCTCTCCTTATCAATTTCTCCATCCCAAGAGGATCATCAATATACGACCATGAAAGCTAAGACTGAAGTGAATCAGCATATGTAAATCCTGTACAAATTGGAGATGCCTAAGTAAATCCTGCTCATCTTCTGGTCAAGAACCATTTCCCGGGCCAGCCCATTCCTCTCTACCACCGTGCATAAGCACAGCCCCACGGCCTGTGAAGACCTGATGCCACATATCATCCACATGGGCTGGTTATTTTCACCTAACAGTACCTGAAGTCGTCATTGATATATTTCCAGGTGATTCCTGGTAACTAAGTGAGAAATCATATTTGCATACTTTTTAAATTTACTTTTATTTTTACATCCCAACTGCAGTTGCTCCTCCCTCTTCTCCTCCCATTTCATCCGCCCACCTTTCCTCTGCCTCCCACCAGACTCCGAGACTCCTCTGTTGCTGTTCCAAAAGGGGCAGTCCTCCCATGAATATGAGCAAAACTTGGCACATCAAGTTGCAGGAGGACTAAGCACCTCCCCTGTATTTAGGCTGGGTGAGGCAATCCAATATGAGGGATAGGTTCCCAAGAGCCAGCCAAAGCATTAGGGACAGACCCACTCCCACTGTTAGGAATTCGACAATTAGACCAAGCTACACAACTGTTACATATATGTAAAGGGCTTAGGGCAATCCCATGCAGGCTCCCTGGTTGTTGGTTTAGACTCTGTGACATACTATGAGCCAACTTAAGTGTTTCTGTCAGTTGGCCCCTCCAGCTCCTACAATCCTTCCTCCTTCTCTTCAGCAGGATTCCTTGAGCACGGACTGATGTTTGGCTGTGGATCTCTGCATTTGTTTCCATCAGTTACTGGATGAAGGCTCTCTGATTGTTGTAAAATATAATCAAAGATCAAGTTGAACTACAAAGGATACATTAAACAAACAAAAAGGGATGGAAAAAGCCCCCAGAAATAGATTGCATAATGCTTTACTAACCTTTAATTTTCTTTATGGTAATGAGAAAGGAACAATGGCAGCAGAGAGACAATGGATAATAATAATAATAATAAAACCTTCTGAATTAAATCAGCCAGTGTATTTCAAGGATGCATCGACATCAGAATGGAAACCAGGAGATGTGCTACATTGTGGGAGAGGTTTGCTCTTGTTTCCACAGGAGAAGAAAAGCTATGAATACCATAAAAATTAATAAAAAATTGGTTTGGGAAAGAGAAACCTCTTAAGTAAGAAAAATGACAGATCACACACAGAGATGATAATCATAAGGTGGTAAGGAAAACTCATAAGGGTTGGGGCAGGGTTCTAATCTTGTCTTTGCAGGAAAATACTTATCTTCAAAAAGTTGGGCATCTAGATGCCTAAAGAAGAAAAGATAACTACCCAGAAAGAATCACCAAGCAAAGAGAAATCTGACTTTTGGTGACCTATTATCTTCAGGGTAAAATTCCATTACTTGAACTTGTATACATACATGTGGGGGGGGGGGGTATATAATTTTTAAGTGAATAGCAAATTTTATTATATATATATATTTCTCAGAATAAATAAATAAATTTGCCATTCACTTAAAATTTAAAGCTGGCTTTGGACAATGGCTATCCTTCTCTAAATCCAAGCATGTTGTCAAAAGAAAAATTCAGAGTTTCTGTCTCATATCAGAAACCATTTGGTATGGGACAGAAAGAAGAATTTAGGAAAAATTTTACTTCTCTCCATTCCTATTTTTTTTTTTTTTTTTTTTTTTTTTTTTGGTTTTTCGAGACAGGGTTTTCCTATTTTTGTCTCTATCATACATTTTGTTGAATATATGTCTATATGAATAAAGTTTAAGTTTTCCACAATGAGCAATAAATTTTCCTGCAGTAATCTTTGAAGTTTCCCGGAAGAAGATGGGGCCCCACAACCATGACTCTACATGATGCTGATAGCGCTACTTTAAGATCAGTTTTGGGTACCAGCTACTCAAGATGATCCCAACTTGGTTAGCTGAATTGGTGCACCTTCTTACAACATTCTGGCCAGAACTTCAAATAAGAACTTCAGAAATACCCTACCAACTACTCAGAGATTATCTGTAATAATACCAGACAGTAATCTTTTTTTTTTTCATTTGGTAATTACAGATCTGAAGTGATTCTGCTTTTATTTCCTTCACGTTAAGCCAACCATGGAATTTCACAGTGATTTCTGGGGTGGGGCAGAAGGAAAGTGTGTTCAGAATGATGGAGGCCACGGCCTGCTTGGCCTGAGAAGGTGCAAGCAGGGGGGCCTCATTGGGGAAGCTGGAGGAGCACCGACTGCCCCGCTGGCAGGTAGGTGATGTTCCGAGAGCGAGAGAGCTGGTAAGCAAAGTCCTCAGCTGCTTCCAGCTTCCGCAGCTCAATCAGGCCTGGCCAGGGAGTTGGCGATCAGTTCGGCTGCCTTGGAGTTGCCCTCAGCAGAGATGATGGCTGCCTTCTTCTGCTGCACAGCCTTTTCCACCACAAATCTGGCCCTCTCCGCTTCCTGCTGAGCCACCTGTTTGGCTTCCACTGCTTCTGTGAACTCCTTTCCGAAGGTCAGATGTGTCAAGGACACATCATCCAGAATGAGCCCAAATGTTGCTGCTCTCTCTGTGAGGTCATCGCTCACCTGCCGGGAGACCAGCTCTCGCTGGGTGATCAATTCTCCAGCATCAAAGCGAGCCACCACTGACTTGAGGATCTCTGTAGTGATGGAAGGCAGCACCCGCTCATCATAGTCCTCGCCGATGCTGGTGTAGATAGGAGGGAGCTGGCTGGCCACCGGCCGGAAGAGGATACGTAGTGTGATGTTGACGTTCTGCAAATCTTTGCTACCAGTGACGACTGGTACGTTCCGTGGTCGCGAGCGGCAGTCAAAGATAATTGGTTTCTGTACCCAAGGGATGAGAAAGTGAGTCCCTTCCCCTACCACGACGTCCTGTACTCCACGGAATCGGTCAAAGATGACAGCTCTGTGTCCAGCATCCACATTATACAAGGCGGAGTTCACCACGCCTCCTGCCACTGCTAAAGCCAGGCCGAACTTTCCGATGGACTCAAACACTTTGGCAGCCATGATTCCTTCTGTTGCACCCACTCACACCTGCCTCCACTCTGATCTCCACATGAATTCCCCCCAGACAGTAATCTTGAAACTTAACTATCATTTTAGTTTTTACAGGATCCCATAGAAATATCATCTATGCATGCATGTTTCTACCTCTGCTTAAGATATTTTGTATATTGATACAATTTTAGAATATATTTATCATATTGCACTATACATTTCTGCCTCTAACCAAGATACATATACATTGTTTACATTTTGAGATCATTATCCTCATTTGCTGCACAGTTGTTTAAAGATTGTTTAATATTCTAGTATGAAGCCTTAGTCTTTAAGCTATATAGGTATTAAGAAATATAGGTCAATAGTCACCCATGTTTGTCATATTTATAGTTAGACTAATCAGGTTCTTTTGATTCTTAGAGATTGTATTCCACATATATAGGTAATCTTTAACCACTTCACAGCACTGTAGAATAAGGCATTTAAATAACTTAGGTTCTGTTGATGTGAGACATGATTGCTCCTGGCAGTACCAATGTATTCCCAAGAGAATGTTGAGCAATGAAGACACTTGGAGTTTGTTTTCTTCTTGGCAAAACTGGCCTTTGGGCAATGAACTTCCCACCCCTTTACCACTGACAAAATGCAGCATGTCCAGACTGGACAAGTACAAATAATACACTCACATACATATGCACATACATACACTCACACATACACTCACACACACAGCATCATACCATCCTATTGATTCTATTTCTGTAGAGAACCCTGCCTAATACACTCCCAATACACATAAATACATTTAGTTCCATGCTCCACGTCTCTGGAGAATCTTGACGTAGACCCACTGACTCACAAAGAGAAGAAAATTTACATTTAAAGCTGAACTTGATTAAATAGCTCTGAATCAGAGTCTAATTCATGTGATTAAATATAAATTACTGTGGATACTTGGTAATTCTCATAAATTGACACCACGGGATACTTTAGGAAACGGATTCTTCAATTTATACACCCTAATATGGTCTCCTTTCTATGAAAAGTCAGTACCAAGGAAAAGCCATTCTGGGTATCCATCAAATTTGTAAAATTACATCTGCATCTTCCTTAATATCTCGCATTAATTGTGATTTCTCCAGGAATAAAGTGCAGCAGACTTTCTGTGGCTCAGGGCACGCTTTAGCATGTGATGACATTAACAGCGGGGCAATGCTAATGCCGCTCAGATTAGCAATGGTACTCAAAGAAGCACAATTGTCCTCGCCTGCTTTTAATGAAGTCACCACCAATTTACAAAACAACAGCATCTGACTTCAGTCAAGATAACAAAATTCCTAACAGAATTTTATGGACTATACAGGCAGATGAGATTCGTTTATCAAAGCATTTACTAGACAAACAATACAGTCAGTTCACAAAACTCCACAAAAACCAAGCATCTGTAGTCATCAAATGCACGACCTGCACACAGATCAACAGGGACACACATGTGAGCTATGTGCTCCACCCCCCGAGTTTAAAGAGTGCTATGAGAGGTAATGATAACATGATTAGCCTTCTCCAAGTGTGGATGCTCGGACAGCAATTCTGAAGGTGTTAAATTATCACCCTCTTCGGAATAATGAAATCCCAGAGGTACCAACTTTCGTATGATAGCAATTATTTTTTCATGTCATCCTAGCTTTAAAGTACAATACATCTAACTAAAGATATCCATGGCTAGAGTTGGGCTTCTGTCAAATATACAAATTAGCCATATTAATGGTCTGTAGAATGATAAGAAGAGACATAATAAACCCTTCTTGCTAGTTTTAAAGTTCTGTCTATTTAAGGAACAACAGCCATTGGCCCGTCACAGCAACCATGTCTATCCCTTTGTCTCCCCTACATTGCAATGTCACATGTAAAGTACCCACACCTGAGCTGGATGATTTGAATACGTCCCACCAAATCATCCAGCACCAAAGTATGCCTTGCCAATCCAGCCTCCACCCTTGGTGCCGTGATTTGCTTCCACCAAATTCAGACAGCCATGTGACGTTTGTTTCCCGATCCGTGCCCACGGGGTAAATGTTTTAGGACAGAATAAACTGCTCAAGAAAGCTTCTCCTGAGCTGGAGGACGGACAGAACAGTGATAAAATTATGAGACACAGAAAGAGAAGGGAGCCTTTTACTCCAGAGTACGGTTAAAACTTCTCAACAGCTGGAAAGCAAACATTCTGGTGCAACCAGCAACTCTTGCTGTGCAGATGGCCTTCCGTGTAGAAATATCTTCAAAAGCAATTTTTTTTTTTTTTTTTTTTTTTTGGTTTTTCGAGACAGGGTTTCTCTGTGGTTTTGGAGCCTGTCCTGGAACTAGCTCTTGTAGACCAGGCTGGTCTCGAACTCACAGAGATCCGCCTTCCTCTGCCTCCCGAGTGCTGGGATTAAAGGTGTGCGCCACCACTGCCCGGCTTCAGAAGCAATATTGAAACAGCAAAAACTGGGCATAAGGATTGAGCATATATGGCTTAGTGACCTCCGTTCACCTCCAGCGTGGCCTCGTTGGTTTCCCAGATGTTTTCTGGAATCTCACAAACGAAGTCTATTAATTTTGTGCCAGAACATGTGTGTTACATTCCTTCTTCTCTGTGATTGGACGTGTTCTCTAGCAATTGGGATCCTGACGGTTGCACCTTGAGGACTACCTCCTGTGGCTGAAGTGATGGCTCCTCCTAGAGAGGACTCATGTTCAGCTAGCTCCCAGCTGTTGGGAGCAGTGAGACCCCAGATTCTGAATTTCTTGTAATCTCCTGATCTAAGTGCCTACAGCTGCTCTGAGCAAGAGACCTTCAGGAGTTCCTGACGGCAGGAGAGTGGTTTCTTGTGGGTTTGGTTGGGGCGTGGCTCTCTCTATATAATCTGCCCCTGAACACAATAAAGGGAGCATTCTTGGGGAATTCAAGGATGACCCGTGTCGCTGTCTCTCTGTCTGTGTGTGTCTGTGTGTTTTAACCTCCAGCCCCCTTGCCCGAAGCTCGCGAACTGGGTGCCAGTGCACAGAGTGCAGACACGGGGGCGTGGTACCCAGCACGGCAACTCATAACCTCCTGTAATTCCACCCCCAGGGCATCTGATACACATTTCTTCCCTCTTGCCTGCCTCTGTAGGCACGAGGCCCCAATTTGGCACACATACATACATTCAGGAAAACACTCATACATAAAACGTTTTTTAAAAAAATAACTATCCTGTGAATTCACTGAGGATAATAACCAGAACACACCCAAATCACACACATGACTGTTGTAAACAAAAATGAAGTGTGAATCTGCTATATCCACATGTGTGTATTATTCTTCTGAAGTATCTCAATCTCCATACTTAAATTTATGTTGGAATTCCTTTTAATGAACTAAAATTCTGATTTATACTGCATCAACTTGAAACTCTTTTCTGTATTTATCAAGAATCCTGATTAACTTGCAAGGTGTTCTTTGCAATAATTCCTCAAGCTGCATTGAAGAACATCCTAAGACCTTATGGAGACATCCAAGAGCCTGAGGAACGTCCTAGAGCCTGGTGGAGACATCCTAGAGCCTGAAGAACATCTTAGATCCTGGTGGAGACATGCTAGAGTCTGAAAAACATCTCAGAGCCTGGTGGAGACATCCTAGAGCCTGAGGAACATCTCAGAGCCTGGTGGAGACATCCTAGAGCCTGAGAAACATCCCAAAGTCTGATGGAGACATCCTAGAGACTTATTAAACATCCTAGAAACTGGTGGGAACATCATAGAGACTGATTGAAACATTCTAGTGACTGGTGGGAACATACTGTCTCCATCCCTCTCAGTGCTGACAGGGCTTACTTTGCATGCATTTGCCATTCCCTAAACCTTTCTTATCCATTACTAGGAAGGCCTTTCTCCAAATATACCAAACTTCTCTGATCTTTGCATATGATATCTTCTTGTTCCTCAAGCCCATCATCTTCTTCCTTGGTGACACACATTCTTCATACTTACAAGGAAAAGCATTGTTCACACACAGTCCATCAGCATCTTGCCACTTTGTCTTCTGCATGTCCACACTGCCTATGCATTCCTGACAGCATTTCTAGCGCTTACCAGATGGCAACATAATTAAAGCATACAGTCTACCAGTCTCCGTCATATGACACTGAATTGCTGATAACGGATGGCACTGTTTCTCTTGGCTCTAACCACCAGAAGTAACCACAGTGGTGGTTAACCACCACCTTGTAGGAGCTGTTGAAAGAACTCTTTTTGAAGTGAGTCAGTGGTTTCCTCATTAAAAGATTTTTTTTAAAGAAATAACTATCTGATTACTTCATGCTAATCAGTATTTGAAGACCTCAGTTTGTTCCTGATTAGCTTCTGTCATATCAAGGAAAGCAACCTGTCACTGCATTGATGATATGATAGGAGAGGCTGTTATCTCTGATGAGCTTTGTAAAGCTAAAAGTAAATAGAGGGAAGCCCTTAGTTGTCCTGAATAGCTGTGCTTCCTGAACTAGCTCATTTCCTACTTATGAAGATTATTTGTAAGAAGTAAACTTAATCTACAGAATTAAATTTTCTGTTATAACTCTATATGCTTACAAGGAAAAAAAAAGCTGTGGGGAGCCTAAAATGTAATTCACAGTAAACATAAAGACTTCTGTAGACATGGAAAGCTCTCGGATACATTTCTGTCAACCACAGTTGTCCTCGCTGACAGCACACACTGCAATTCTAGAAAATCGTTATTTGCTTCTCATTTCCATTATAGACAGGATTCTGCCACAGGAGGCACATTCAGACAACTGCACCTACAGTGATGCATTTTTATGTGATTATTATGATGATTTTGATTATGATTGCTATTGTTGCTAAAGGCACTTCTCGAGTTGGTAGGAAGATAAAAATTATGTGCAGTACTTCCACCTTTTCCTGTTAACGTAGATACTTTCTTACAGTACCTTCTATTTGCCTAATGTATTATCCCTGTAGCTCCTGGATTTGTTGTATACACAAACAAATGCAATCTGTGGTTAATTATCTCTGCTCATCCAC